GCTTTTGTGGTTCCCGAGTTGAAAGTGCGGGATAAAATGTGGGACACACACACAAACACACACACACACACACAACCGCTGTTACACAGCAACGCTGTTACACAGCACAAAACGCACAAAAAACTAACATGTATTCTACGTCCAGACGCAAGAAGGATACGATAGTTTTGGCAAGTTCATGACCACTGGAAAAATCGCCTTCGATTCGTTGTCGGAATGCTTTTGCAAGTTGCAAGCGAGCTTCAGATACTCGTTGCACAACTATGAAAAAATCAGTAGTTCGCGGAAATTTGTAGCTTATAAAGTCATCACAGATAATTGAGTGATCCTCCTCTGAACAATGCACCTGAAAACAACATAATGTACTTTATTAATTCGACAGAAATTTTAAAAAAAAGTTTTTTTTTTGTAAGCACAACTTCAACTTTAAAAAACTGTTTCTACACCTAAATCCAATTAATTGAATTCGACAAGTATAACGGCAAAGAAGGCAAAAACGCAGCCATCTGAAACGATGGGAGAAAAAGATCGCAGCGACGAAACAAAAGTTTTAACTTACTTTCCCCATTATATTAATCAATTTAACAATTAGTATTATGACTACTACATTTCTTCTACAAGACTTGTTACTATTAGCATTCATTACACAATTAATTTAATCGTAATATTCAATAGCTCTAATTACCACTATCGCAATAAGGGATCCAACTGTGGCAATGGTAAGAAATGTACACGAGTTAATGGACCGAAATATTTCTTACCATTGAAATAATTCTACTAATTCACAAATTTTGTAATTCTATCTTTTACCTTCCTTTCTGATTATTCTTATTTCATCCGTTGTTAATACACCTATTATCTGTTTTTTTTAAATATTTGAATAAATCATATCAAAAAACGTACAGAATTGGAGAGCAAGATTAACGATAAGGCAGGCACACGCATGCTGTTGCAAATGTAGGGTTTTGTTGTCTCTATGAATGAAGCAAAGGATATCAGCTGATGATAACGCGAGAGACCCTGGAAAAAAAAATAACTGCGCCAAAGTGTATGCGACACCGCAATTATAATTTCAAAAAGCAGTTAAGCAGAACAAAGAATAAAGGCATGCTGAGTTCAAAAATCCAAGTAGCGTTCATACATTAAGACTCTCTTCCCTCAGCATGGAAGGGGGGCAGGGACTTAATGTACGAACACTACTTGGACTTTTGATTTCAGGATGGTTTACCATTGTCTCACATAGAAGAAAGTCGAAAAAGAAAGTGCGGGAAAGAAGGTAGCTCATAGACAACCCTAAGTCAGGCTTTTTAGATTCCCGTGAAATGCAGCCCGGAACATCGGTTTTGAAGAATTCCGCCTTCTGTCCAGATTGGGCAGATGCTATTGAAGCAGTGGTGCGTTTGCGAAGTATACAGATCAAAAAAAAAAAAACATCGGCAGTTATAATGAACAAAGACAAAATTTTTGTCGATGTGAATCCAGGAACTCGCGAAATTAAAGTGGTGCTAGCGCACCAACCATAAAAAAAGTGTAAATTTGAAACGACTGAACAAACCTTATCACTACGATCATAATTCAAAGCGTCCGGAAGAAGTGCCAAACAACTGTTTGGATGCAGTGCCGCAAAAGGTTTTTTTCGAGTATGTGCGAACAGTTCATTGCCAACCTAAACAATACTTTTTAGTTCACAGCGGTGTGCCAGAAGAGATTTTAAAAGTTCTTCGAAGTTATTTCATTGGGGAATTTTCAAATTTCTACAAAAAAGCCTCCGAACTCAGCCGCAGAAATCATATAAAAGCAGAATGAATTTAATTTCTCACCTTATACGAATTGTACTGATCAAGAATCGCATATTGTGGATGGACTGCAGCCGTGACAACAAATTTCAATACCGAAGAGGTGGCGTCATTGAGACGATGAGATTTTAGAATGCTTCGAATGCCACCTTCACGATTCTTCATGTAAAACTCAATGGTCTGAACATTATCCATAAGAGAAGGACCACCTGAAATACAATTCAGCACGTGTTCGGCCCGATATATCAAAAATTTTTTATTTAACCAAAAAAACTAAACATACACAATACCAGATGGCTTCT